GAAACCTCTCACTGCCAGTTGTTCTACTCTCTGGCCGAGGGAACACGGCATGGACGCACTGGCACACAGCTGGCCGCGGGGCCTTCGCAAGTATGTTTCCCCCAGTGAGCCTTCTTGCACAGATACTGTGACTTACCCTAAGAGGTAGTTGACACCATCACTTCGGCGAGAGCACCGTCTATGAGACACTCTTACGCCTTGAAGTGGAACCTGTTCGTCGAATGGTGCTCTTCTCACCGAGAAGACCCCCGGAAATGTCAGATCAGAGTCGTTCTGTCCTTTCTGCAGCAGGGGTTGGAGCGAAGGCTGTCTCCCTCCACCCTTAAAGTCTATGTGGCTGCGATTCCTGCCAACCACGACCCCATGGAAGGGAAGTCGGTGGGGAAGCATGACCTGGTAATCAGGTTCCTTAGGGGGCAAGAAGGCTAAATTCTCCTCGACTGTCTGCAAAGGCTCAAATGGGCCCTGCTGTAGTGTTCAGAGCACTACAGCAGGGCCCATTTGAGCCTTTGCAGTAGGGATGGGCGATATGGGCTTAAAAATGTATCCATACTGGAAGCCGGAGGGCGCCCTTGCGCAGAAACTCCACATATGCATAGTAGAAGTAATGCTCCAGGAAGAAGTATCCAGGGATCGCTGTAGCTGAATAAAACGCAGATAGAGAAATTTTAACAGAGGAATCCTGAAGACAATAAACATGCGATTGCACAAAATATATGGTATCTGTGTTCTTCAAGCAATCTTGGGTATTTTTTATAAGGATAGAGTATATTTATAATGCAATGCTAATCGACATAGCCTTTATCACTGTATATCATGCTATAAAATAGTATGATTTCTGCCTTATTCTGTGATACGAAACCACGTCTGATCACAAAAATAAGTTATTTCAAACACTCGACTATGTTATGAAGTTAATATGGAGAAAAAGCATGTCAATAAATTAAAATATCTTTGTTGGATACACATGTAAAACTGTGTCGCACACGTGCTACTGTAGTACATTTACTCAAGGCTCAGACCGATTTTTGTCGCACTGTACAGCCCTATCCAAACCTGTTCCAGATTGTAGAAGGAGCTGCTCAATTTCACGTCCGCCTTCCTTCACGTCACCCCACACAGTCGCACACAGAAATATGTGGGATCCCAATTCGTCGGTCATCCGACGTGACGTCGAGAGTGACCGACTGAAAGGGAACGTCTCGGTTACGTATGGTAACCCTCGTTCCCTGAAGGAGGGAACGGAGACGTCACGTCCCGTCGCCACGGCTGCTGTTCCACTTCTGAGCGGCCAGGTCACCGGCTCGGCTCCTCAGTGAAAACCTGAATATGCGCTGTACCAGCTGCCTACTTATACTCACGCTGTGATCAGCGGCAGCTGGATGCAATAATCGCATGCCAATGTGCATTGGCTCATTTAGTTTAAACTCAAAGTGGATTGGTCTCTCTAAACGAGACCCCAATTCGTCAGTCATCCGACGTGACCTCTCCGTTCCCTCCTTCAGGAACTGAGACGTTTTAGTCATTGTTCATGCTACAAGCTAGAAAGGGAAAGAATAAATAAAGAGAAAGACAAAGTTTTTTTTTTTTAAGATGAAGTCAAGTAGCATCAAAAGAGATGAGTTTTCAGCTGTCGCATGAACATTGTCAGGGATTCAGCATTCCGGATAAGAGCAGGAAGATCATTTCACCAGCCAGGAATGGTGAATGAGAATGTTCTGGAAAGTGATTTTGAGCCTCTCTGTGATGGTACCACGAGGCGTCGCTCACTAGTGGATCTCTGGAGGGAACTTCTGGAGGGGATGTAAATTCGTAATAGTGAGTGGAAGTAGGCAGGTGCTGAGCCTGTGGCTGTTCTATATGCAAGCATCAATGTCTTGAACTTGATGCGAGCTGCAGCCGGTAGCCAGTGCAAGGAGATAAAAGAGATAAAGATATCTGTGTTCAGTTATGTGTGTATGCATGCATCTATGAAAGCATCGTAGCCTACTGCACACAGTTTTAGTTTAGCTACAAGCCAGACCCAAACCCAAGAGTATTTCAAGACCTGTTGGACTCAGATCGGGTAGCAGACCTCCAGGTCGGCGGCAGTTTGCCCAATTTAGCATATTTAATTGGCGTCAGGGCCATCAGCGAGAGTGAGAACTCTGATTGGAAGTTCAGTTTAGCGAACGAGTCAGTGCCCGAGAATTCAAGTGAAAGTGTTGAAAACAAGTAAATGAAGGCAGCTAATGTTACGTGATCTTACCCAAGTATGCAAGTATTTTCATAACAACATGAGCGGCTAAAAATGAATAAAGTTATCAACATAACTGATATTCAAAATGGTAAGCAAACGCTGCTTTATTTACGTTTCGTATATCTGGTATATCCTTGTTTCGGTTTCTCCTTTTGAATGACGAATACATACTATTTCTAGCTGCTGATATAGACAGCTAATTGTTTTTCGCACAGAATGCACGTCTTAGTTTGCAGTCGGCTGTAGTCTGTATGGTTTGTTCAATCGCAGCTTTTTGGTCCAAATGCTGCCGACGCAAGGAGACAACACCGTCGGCTTTTGTGGCCGCTAGTTGTTTGAAGTCGGCTTGGTGTGTCCCGGCCTTAAATGCTTTTATGTTGCTTTTCACATCTTTTGCTTTGTGGCTTTAAACTGTGGTTAACTTGTATTTATCTTTTTTTGCTTTAGACCAGCTGGTGCTGAAAGAGGAGAATCAAGATCCAAATGAAATGGAACAGACAGATCAGTATGAGAAACACCATGATTTAATAATTGGTGAAAATGCCACACAGACTAAAACGGGTTCTATACGAAAAAGAGCTCAGAAAACCAAATCTAACAGCTCTTTCACCTGCCATCAGTGTGGAAAGAGCTTTGCTCAACAAG